GTTGTGCTTATATGCATGCATACAAGTTATTTGGTTGATCTCTTACCCCCCACCCTCCCCTATCTTCCCCCTGTAGTTTGACAGTCTACTTCTTTAATCCGTAGTTCTTGGGTTATAAGGATATATTTCTTGCTACTGTCCTCCTTTGAAAAGCAGATTGTAATGAAACCATAGAGAAAACCTTAATTTGAATCATAAATGGTTCATTATTTTTAGTTCATTGTTTTCTAGAACAAAGGATGGACATCTAAAATCCTGATATTGTTTTATACCATATACATGTGTTAAGTATTTGTGGGTGTACACATATATACAATTGTTATAATAATACAAGAATCCTAGGTGATGACCCTCCCTCCTAAAATGCAATCAACTCTGCACCTATAAAAAGAACGTATATCCATTCCTATGGGCAGATATAGGATGCCCATAACATATTGGGTTAAAAAATGAACCCATTATTTGTTTTTATGTGTGTATGTATAGAGTAGGAGTGTGATATGTGGAGAAATGGAAATGTATGACAGGGGTGGGAGACTGGTATAGAGGGGGAAGCATGTTTATGATGGAGTGTTCTGGGGAAGGTGGGAGTGAATGTATGAAATAGGATTGTGAGAGGTGAGGGGAGTGTATGTGTATCCAGCACATTGTGTGTGTGTGTGTTGGGGGCGGGCAGGAGATGGACAGGGAAGCTATGTGAGATGTGAATGGGGGAGAGGGGGAATGAGGACATGTCTGTGGGGAGTGAAGATTTGCCTTTCTGTTGTGGGAGTCAAATATATGGAGATGTGTAGAGAGAAGAGAGTGAAGGAAGTGAGATGAGTGTATAGAGACATCTGTTAGAACATATACAAATATTAGCCTTTATGAATAATTTTTACCTTATGATTGTTTTAACAGGTTGGCTATCGTTTTATTTATTTATTTGGTTGGTTGGCTTTAATTTTCAAGCCGTTACTGGGGGAAAATCTCCACTGAACATTATGTTTATGTAACCACTTCTGGATTGATTAGGACCTGGATCTCAAAAGATGGACATCTTGCCGAAACCGGTTTTGCTCAGTGGATAGAGCGTCGGCCTGCGGACTGAAGGGTCCCAGGTTCGATTCCAGTCAAGGGCATGTACCTGGGTTGCGGGCACATCCCCAGTAGGAGATGTGCAGGAGGCAGCTGATCGATGTTTCTAACTCTCTCTCTCTCCCTTCCTCTCTGTAAAAAAAAAAATCAATAAAATATATTTAAAAAAAAAGATGGACATCTTCAGTCACTGAATCTCTGTAGCCAAATAAACATGTTTTTAAGCTATATTTCCCTTTTTATATCCTCTTGATATAAAATGGCTGCTGTAAAACTGAAACATTCATTTTACACAGGTATGAGTTATCCCTGCAGCAAAACAAACACTTTTAGCTGAAAGGAACTTAAAAGGGGAGGAAAAAATGCTGGATGACCTCCTAAACCCCATTGCTGGATTTCCTAACATAATTACTTGAGGTTTGATTTTCTTTAGTGACTTGAAGTCTAAGAAAAGATACAGATTTTAATTACACCGAAAATTTTTTATACATCAGAAAATGAGAAGACTAGAATTTTTAAATATATTTTTATTTGTGTACATGTATTTGATAACTTCAAACTTAGAACATTTAGAACCGGCACAAAGAGAAATACAAATCAACAACAAGGATTTGAAATGGGGGAATGGATACTGTAACTGGTTCATATTAACCTTCCATGCGATTTATATCTTATACAGTGAAAATTTTAGTTTACACAGCTCTATAATTGTACTTTTCTAATACCCTATTTTGTAGTCTCAGGATACTTTCCAATTAAACTGATCCTGATGTTTACAGATGAAAAATAAGAAAGTAGCACTGTCAAGTTGAACCACTAAAGAATATCTAGTTCAAACTGATCCTGATGTTTACAGATGAAAAATAAGAAACAGCACTGTAAAGTTGAACCACTAAGAATATCTAGTTCACATTTCTTATCAATATAAATCAGGAACAATTTGCATCAAACAGAAAAACTATTCACGTTATTAATAACAGCTCATATTTTTACTGAACACTTCTTGTGTTAGCCAGGCTCTGAACTAAACATCTGAACATGCAATTTCACATTTAAATATCTCGATGAGAAGTCTCACAAGTTTCACATTTTTCACAACTGATGATGTCAAGATGCCGGCTTGCACTGAGCACCTGTGTCCAAGCCTTTACCTGGCATTTTAGCATGCTAGCATGACACTTACAGCAGCTCAGGGTGCTCCCTTGCACAACTTTACTAATGTTATATGAATATGCAGGCCTTGACTTCCCCCCAGAAACAGGACTTGACTAAGAGACACACCTATAAGACAGCACAAAGAAGCTGTTACCTAGGTCTGCACTCAAACGCCACTTCCCTCGTCTCAGAAGTGCCCCTCCAGGCCTAACTGCAGGAGGGCAGCCTCAGCCTCCTCCTCCTCCTCCTTGGCCTCCTCCTCGCGGATCTGCACCAGCAACTGAAAGAGGTTAGGCGCCGGCCCCTCCGCAGCCCCGGTCAGCCACAGCTGCCTTCGAATGGCCCCGCTGTGGTTGGCTCCGGCAATGACCTGCTCCAGGCGCGCCTGGTTCACGTTATCTTTATCTATGGCCCCCTTCTCCACCACCTTCTGCAGCAGAGGCTCCAGACGAATGACATAAGCCGATAACTTCTCCCCTGGGTTCTGGTAGGTGTTCAGAAACCTGACCTGCGCATCCCTAGAACTCTCCACGCTCCCGAACACCTGCTCCAGCGCCTTCAGGCATTCGGCGGTGGTGATGGCAGGGTTGTTGGTTTTGAGGATGCGGATGACATCCGCGGCGGGGCCTCTGAGGCTCTCCATCAGCCGCCGCCTCTTTTCTACATCAGACACCTGCCACTCCCCTATGACCTCATTCGTGTGCTCCAGCCAGGAATCGAAGGTCTCCTCCCCGGGCCCCGGGATGTCCCTCCCCGAGAACACCGTCAGCTTCTTGTACCAAATGGACTCCACAAGAGGCTGGATCACGTTATCCAAGATATAGTTGAGCATCTCTGCTGGCATGTCGGGGCCCGGGGCCGGAGCGGGGGCCTGAAAGCCCAGGACACGGGCAACGTCTTGCACGGTCCACCCCTCCCTCGCCAGGAAGAGGTGCAGCCTCTCTAAGAACTCCGCGTCGGAAGTCGGGGGCTTGAAGACCACCTTCCAGACCCCGCCTTTCCCCGGCATCTCCCGGGGGATGGCCGCGTAGTCCACGGCGCCCGTGAGCTCCAGCAAGGCCGCCTTCGCGTTCTCTTCCCGCCAGAACATCCTCCCCAGCACGCGGTAGGGCACCTGGGGCATCGCCGCCTGCAGGGTCTCTTCGATCTCGGCCTCGTCGCAGTTCACCGGGATCCCCCAGACCAGCAGGGCTCTCTGCGAGTTCACGTCCATCCCCCGGCACCAGTCTTCCAACAGCGTCATCGCCATCTTCCCACTCTCTGGGGCCCCACTCCACAGACACGGGTCAGACCGGCTCCCCGCGCCCCCGGGCCGAGGACCACGGCAGACACTCCCCCCCAAGACGCCCGAGGGAGGCGAGCTTGACGCCACCGCCGTTCGCCACCGGCGCTAGTCC